CCCGCCACCGGCGTGCTGGCAGGTGCGCCCCCCTCGCCGTCCCCGCTGCTGATTGGCGCCCAGGTTGGGGAGTCGCCGCCCCGCGCTTATGTCAGAGTGCGTGCCGTCCGGGCCCACCTCGCCTTTGAACTTCGCCGCTCTTGGCTCCGGTTCACCAGCCTCCCCGCATTCGCGGCCAGGTGCAGTGAGGTTAGGCGGCTCCCGGAGAACCGCGGGCGGGGTAGCCACGGCCGGAGAAGAGAGCCGAGAAGGGGACGAGAGGAGGAGAAGGTGGAGAGAGGGAGAAGGAGGAGCTTCCTGCCCCAGCCCGAAAATTACCTGGCCACTTAATCCCCGAGACTCCGGTACTTGGGGCCCAGAGTCTGGTGCCGGCGGCCCCCGGCCGACCGTCCTGTCCTCCCCCGCCCTTCCTGCCCGCATTCGCCCCCCGGGGGCTGCCTGGGTGCTGGGACTGGCATGATCAGCTGAACTTTGTGGGGTCAGCGCTTCTGTCTGGCTTCGCCTCCGCGGCGCAGAGGTGAAGGGAGCGCCGAGCCCGGCTCAGGACAGACAGACAGAGGGCTAGCTGCGCCCAGGCTCGCCCGCAGAGCCCCTGCACTCCCCACCCCCGCCCACCTCGCCTCTGGGACCATGTCCAAACCTTCAGACCACATCAAGCGGCCCATGAACGCCTTCATGGTATGGTCCCGGGGCCAGCGGCGCAAGATGGCCCAGGAAAACCCCAAGATGCACAACTCCGAGATCAGCAAACGCCTGGGCGCCGAGTGGAAGCTGCTGTCCGAAGCCGAGAAGCGGCCGTACATTGACGAGGCTAAGCGGCTGCGCGCCCAGCACATGAAGGAGCACCCCGACTACAAGTACCGGCCGCGGCGCAAACCCAAGAACCTGCTCAAGAAGGACAGGTATGTCTTTCCCCTGCCCTACCTGGGCGACACGGACCCGCTCAAGGCGGCTGGCCTGCCCGTGGGGGCCTCCGACGGCCTCCTGAGCGCGCCTGAGAAAGCCCGGGCCTTCTTGCCGCCGGCATCGGCGCCCTACTCCCTGCTGGACCCTGCGCAATTTAGCTCAAGCGCCATCCAGAAGATGGGTGAAGTGCCCCACACGTTGGCCACCGGCGCGCTGCCCTATGCGTCCACCCTGGGCTACCAGAACGGCGCCTTCGGCAGCCTCAGCTGCCCCAGCCAGCACACGCACACGCACCCGTCCCCCACCAACCCGGGCTACGTGGTGCCCTGTAACTGTACCGCCTGGTCTGCCTCCACCCTGCAGCCCCCGGTCGCCTACATCCTCTTCCCAGGCATGACCAAGACTGGCATAGACCCTTACTCGTCAGCCCACGCCACGGCCATGTAACCCCCAACCCGGCCCGGACTTGAAGGGTGGCCTGGAAACGGGGGTCTGCACCTTGATCTCTGCTCCTAGCCCTGGCCTGCTGACGCCTCGGGCCAGCCCTGCCGCCGCCCCTTAACCCAGCCCAGACTCGGCCTCTCTCTTCCGAGGGGAAGGGAGGGGCGTCCTCCTGGACCCCAGGCGCAGACAGGTGCCAGAACTTGCAAACGTTATGACGCTACACAGCTGCCCTATCCCGACTCCCAAAGCAAATCTCCGACTGTACCCCCTTTGGACAAAAAAAGTGGGCAGTTTTGCTTTATTTATGTACCCCTCACTTTCCTCGGATAGGGTTTGGACTCGGAACTCCCAGATCCTGGTATTATATCTAGAATATGCATATATTTTTTTCTTTTCCCCCTGAAGAAAAGAGTTAGCTGTGTCTCTGTGTTTTGCTATCAGACACAACTAGGCGCCATTAGTCTTCATGTGTGGGGGAAAAGGCTTAAAAGTTTAAACTACAGAAAGGGAAACATTTCTATTTAAGATCATGCTATGATAGTGTTTGCTTCTTTACAGGGAAAACAAAGAGGACCCACATGGTTATTTACTTTGTGTAAGCAGTGCTCCTAGAGACCTAAGTTTACTTTTAGACAGAATGTCAGGTTATGAAGTCAGGAAGTAGAAAGTTGAACAAAAAATTTTTAAAATAAAAACATCCTAAATGGTCATAAATGTTTTGACGATGTCTTGGAAATGTACCTAGAAGGATTTTACCTCGTTACTCTGTTCATTTGTTTGAACAAAGACGTTTTGAATAAAGACAATCTGTCGTTGCAAAAAGTAACTTTGATGTGCTTAAAATGTGAAGTCAGGATGCAGGCCAGGGAGTCGATCCAACAGGCTTCTAGTGCAGAGAGAGGCGCTAGCAGTAAGGGCCGGTCGCTGCCCGCATTGGCTCAGCCTGGTGGCTTGCTGCCTGGGTGCAGAGTGGCCTAGAGTCTGAAATCTGCCTTGAGTGCACCCTCAGGACCTGGTGTTTTGCTTCTAGAGCTATTCAGAGGTATCCGTCCCTGGGACGTCCTCCTTCCTGGCGTTCTTCACCGTAGGTCCCACCACTTCCAGGAGCGAATGAACTAAGACAAAGGCCGACTCAGACTTCTGAGATTTGGGCGCATTTACTTTTTAAAACCAAACTCCAAAGGAATGGGGAGAAGCCCGTGTCTCCTGGGAACCAGTTGCTGGTCAGAGCACCACCGTCCTGCGGTGGGTGTTTGAGTTCAAGCATGGGGAGAAGGCCGGTGGAATCGGGTATTTTTTTTTTAGGTGTTTGAGAACGCTGCCACCGGCGGTTCTGGGAATTTGGGACTCCGTTCTTATCCCTAGTTTAAAAATAAAGTCTAAGCAATGTAGAAAAACGTGTCCTGGGTCCCCACCCTGGACTGTTAAAGACTTTTTACTAAGACCCTGCGGGAGTAAAGAAAAAAGGAAGGCGATGTTGTCAAGGTTCAGGCAAGGAGTTACAAGTACAGAATTTAAGTCACTTACAGAGCTTGGTATTTAACAAAAAAGAAAAGGAGACCTCTTCCTCCCCCTCTGCCCTGCCTGAAATGTTTGCTTAAAGAGTACTCTTTTTCGTGAGGAGAGAGGACTCTCTGATCCATCTGAAAAACTCTTTGGAATTTGTTTTCAAAATCGAAGGGTGCCCCCCACCCTCTTCTCCCAGGAGCCTCACCCCCCCCCCAAGCCGGTTCACGTCTTTCTGTAGGTCGCCTGCTGCCCCAGCTGACTCTGACCTGGTGTAGGGCCCAAGGGAGGCTGCTAGGGGCTGCTCGCTCTCTGCTGCTGTTGAGGGATTTGAGCCCTCGCCTCTGCCGTCTGGAAAGGAGTGGGTGGCTTGAGGTGCATTGGAAACCTTGTCCACACACACCAAAGCCGAAACCCGCGGATTAGCATATTGTCCTCAAAACAATTAGAAGTGTTTGAGGTGCTATTTGGAACCTATTCATCTGAGCCCCTTTGTCAAAGGGGGATTTTCATTATTAAAAAAAAAAAAAGTTAGCAGTTGTCCATCTGGCTGAGTTGAATAGCAGAGTGATTCGTGTTGTATATGCTTTTCTCATTAAGAGCTCTTTTGAGACCGATGTTAGAATTAAATGGTATAACACAATTAACATACACGGGCGCTGAATAGGAGGGGACGCCTATAAATAATAGATAGATAAATAAATGAGCGATCAGGCGGGGGTACACAAAAGCGGGCTGCGGAGCGCGTGGGGGGGCCGGGCGGGCTGCGCGCGCTTACTTAGCATCACAAAACCCTCTTACAAATCGAGACAATTAGGAAGTGACTTGCCTCTGGTGGCCGTCCGGTCTGGGGCTCGGGCGCGCAGGGAAGGCCCCTCCTCCCTCCCCCAGGGAAGCCCGGGGGCCTGGGGCGGAGGCGCCAAGGTTTCGCTGTCTGATATAACCCCAACTGACAGTGCTGTCAGCCTCTCTGATCGGCCTCATAGCTCAGTGTCCCTTAACATCTCCTAAGATGAAGCTTACAGGGGTCTGGGTGTCGCCCCGCGGAGCCCGGCTCAGGAGCGCCCAGGGCGCACAGAGCACCCCGGCCCGGGGAGGGACCCCGCGCGGCTGCACCACTAGCCCGCCCAGTCGCTGAGACGCCGGGTTAGGCAGGAAAGGGGTGCTAGGAGGGCTCAAGGGGCGAAGGTTTGGGGCAGCGGCAGAAGCTGGAAAACTCAAAACCGGGTTCCGGATTCCGACCGGGCTCGGGGACTCAGAGGAGAGTTCTGGGGACCTGGGGGAGCGCCGTAGCGGAGAGGTGTCGCGGGCGCCCGCGGCGGGCTGACGGAGACCTCTTTCCTGCCCTCGGAGAACCGAGCGCCAGAGCGGGTCCTAGGACAGAAGCCA